AGGCCTTTTGTCCTAGTCCATCTTAGTCTGGAAGCTCTGCTGAAACCTGCTCAGCATCATAGCAACATGCAAGCCTCCAATGATGAACGGGTGGTGACTGCACATGAGGTGCATTGGCCAGGAATCTCACCGGGTCTCTCACATGGAAAATGAGAATTCTACCACTGAACCACCCACAGAGATGGAGAATCCTTAAAAATCTGCCCAAAGAATCTAACCTTTCCAGGTTCCTATTAAAATTAGGTCTTCTGAAACTAGAAATTAAAGTAGCAGCCATCTACCCTGCTGCTTCTTAAATATGTAAATACAAATACACGACTTGACTTCAGGACTTATGCAAAGTCTGCACACAAGGTTACACAGGAAGAGTTTGTCAAATATCTGACAAATAATATATATCAGCTTTGGATGATTTTTAATGCAGATGTTACTGGTCTAGGTTCAGCTTGGTTTTTCTAGTCATAATATGTGAGGGTCTTTTTTTTTTTTGGCAATTGGTTACATATTCTTCATAGTTCTTTGTTCTTCACTTGTATAATTAACCTAGCTATATAGCCTAAAGCCTAAAATACATCAGTCTATGAGAAAACGAGAATTTTAACAAAAATTCAACCATGAGCTTTCTATTTATATTACTTCAATATGATATTCAGCAATCCTCCCATTGATTACCACTGATCACCCTAGCCAGAAATAATTTATCCAACCCTATTTTTAATCTTTCCAACAGTATTATCGTTTTCTCTCACATATTATTTTTTCTTTAAAAAAAAGGTATCACTTTCTGCCACATATTTGCATTATTCATGCATTTTTATTACCTCCGCTACTTGACTGGACAATGTCTTAGATTCCTTGTATTCCCCACAGCATAGGGATTTAACAACTGCTTTAAAAATACTAGTTATTGCTTTTTGTGATTATAAAAAAGTACTGTACTACATGCTCACTGTTGAACATTTTGAAAATACAAAAAAATGTAAATGGAAAATAAACAGTATCTATTCAACCTCCAATGACAATGCATCCTTGAGGGTGGAAGAGAAGTTGTTCTGGAAAGGTTAAAGTGCTGGTAAAAGTGGGTCAAGAACATGTGGGAGATCATTTAGCTAATTTCAATGACAGAAAAGCACTCTCTCCATTTTAGCCCTTTCAGTCCTTTTCCTATGCAGATTTTCAACATAGTTGAGAGCATATTGTACATACAGTTCTCCATTTTTCCCCACTTAGCAATACTTAGTAAACATCCTTCCACACCATTAAAATTTTTAATAAATATCCTTTTTAATATCTGTGTAATACTGCATCTTTTGATGATACCATAATTTATTTAACTGTTCCTTTGTTGTTGGGTATTTAGGCTGTTTCCAATATTTGACTTTTCTAAACAAAGCTATATTGAACAATTTTGAACAATAACTTTTTAAAAGTATTTCTCATGAGTTCCTTTGGATAGACTCCTAGAAGTGGAATTACTGGGTCAAAGGGTAGGAGCATTAGTGAGGCTTTTCATATGTTCAGCCAACATGCTTTTCAGAAAGGTTATAACATTTGTGTGCCTCCTCACAGCATTTGAGAATGTCTGTTCCCCTGTGCTCTCACAGATGTGGGGAATTATAATTTGTATAATTTTAAAAATCTATGGAAAAATTGTATCTTGCTGTTGTTTTAATTTTCATGAATTGATTAATGGAGAAAGAATGCATTCTTACATGTCTATGAGCCATTTAATCTTCTCTTTTACGGAGAGTTTGTGCGTGTCTTTTGCGCATTTTTTGCTGGAATCTCTGTTAGCTTCCTCTAGCTTTGTAACAAATTACAACAAAGTTAGTGGCTTAAAACAACATCCACTTATTATTTCATAGTTTTGAACGTCAGAGTCCAGGTGGACTTGGCTGGATTCTCTGCTCAGAGTCTCCCTCACAAGGTTGAAATCAATACAGAATCTGGAGGCTCTGGTAAGGAATACAGTTCCAAATTCATTCAAGTTGTTGGCAGAATCCACTTCCTTGCAGCCCTAAGTCTGAGGCTCTTGTTTCCTTGCTGGTTGTCAACCCAGCACCAAATTTAGCAACTCTAGCCCACAGGTCACCCATATTCCTTCTCAAGTGTTCCCTCCTATTATGGATTGAATTGTGTCCCCCAAAAATGTGTGTCAACTTGGCTAGGCCAGATCCCAGCACTGTGTGATTGTCCACCATTCTGTCATCTGATGTGATTTCCCTATGTGTTGTAAATTCTACCTCTATGATGTTAATAAGGCAGGATTAGAGGCATTTATGTTAATGACGCAGGATTCAGTCTACAAGATTAGGTTGTATCTTGAGGCAATCTCTTTAGAGATATAAAAGAAAGAAGTGAGCAGAGAGATGGGGACCTCATTACCACCAAGCAAGAAGAGCCAGAAGCCCAAGTTCTTTGGAACCAGGATCCCTGAGCTGAGAAGCTCCTAGACCATGGAAAGACTGATGACAAGGACCTTCCTCCAGAGCGGACAGAGAGAGAAAGCCTTCCCCTGGAGCTGGGACCCTGAATTTGGACTTCCAGCCTCCTAGACTGTGAGACAATAAATTTCTCTTTGTTAAAGCCATCCATGTGTGTTATTTCTGTTATAGCAGCACTAGATACTAAGACACCCTCTATCTTCAAAGCAGCAACAACATGTTGAATCCTTATCGGTTGAATCTCTCTGATTTCCCTTTCTGATCCCAGCCAGAAAAAGCCCTCCATTTTTATTGGCTCCTGTGAGTAGATTAGACCACTCAGATAATCTCCCTATTTTAACATCAATTGTGACATGTAACGTAACATAATCAAGGGAGTGATATCTCACAGTATTCACAGGCTCTAGGAATTAGGGTTTGTAACTGGGGAGACTGGGCTGGGGGGTATTTAAAATTCTGCCTACCACAGAGTCTTAGGTGGTTTTTCTTATAATTTGTTTGTGCTTTTTTTTTTTTTTTTAGCATCTTTTTAAAATTTTTTATTTTATTTTTTGTTTTTGTTGTTGAGAATATACACAGCCAAACATACAATTCAACAGTTTCTACATGTACAATTCAGTGACATTAATTACATTCTTCCACTTGTGCAACCATTCTCATCCTCCTTTTCCAAATTGTTCCTCCCCCATTAACATAAACTCTTGCCCCCTCCTATCTAACCTTTCAAGCTTCTGTTGTCAATTTTATCCCACATAGTTCTTGAAACAGCACAACGCTCATAGCAGACATTCTATAGAAGAATCTTGGTCAAAAGGGGGAAATGCAGAACAGAATTATAAATTCTCAGGGAATCCAGACTTTCTGGATCCACTGAGGCTGGATGAACCCCTGAAACTATTGCCCTGAGATAATGTTTAAATCTTAAACCAAAAATATCCCCTGAAGACTTGTTTAAGCCAAACACAGTTTAGCTTAACTAGTAAAGGCTGTCTGTTTGTGCTCTTTATGATAAATCAGAATGGCATGAATTTACTTACTAAATGAATCTTACCAATGACGGCCAGAAGTTGTATTCTCACAAAGGCAAAGGCTGTTGTGTGCTAATGAAGATGCTCAATACATAACTTTGCTAACACTAGTATATTTTTATTTTATGTATTTATTAACAAACACATTTCAAGCAATTACTATATGTTAGACTGTGTTCTAAGCACTTGAAAAATATTAACTCATTTAATCCTCATAACCTTATAAGATCAATACTATTATTTTTCCCATTCTATAGATGAGGAAACTGAGGAGTGGTAAGGTTTAGTACACTGCTCAAGGTTATATAACTAGAATGTAGCCAAGCAGGAATTCAAACCCAGGTAGTCTGGCTTTATAGTTCCTGCTACGAACAACTACATTATGAAAATATTCGTTGTAAAGGCCAATTTATCAGGCCTTAACATGAATTCTTCAATGTACACAATTTTAAAACACCTCTCTATTTGCAATTTAACCTAATATTCTAATAAAAGTTAGACTACTGTATTTTGGAGAAGACCTGGTGGCGCAATGGTTAAGCACTCAGCTGCTAACTGAAAGGTTGGCGGTTCAGTCCCACCAGCCTCTCAGCAAGACAAAGATGAGGGAGTCTGCTTCTGTAAAGATTTACAGTCTTGGAAACCCTATGGGGCATTCTATTCTGTCCTATAGGGTCATTATAAGTCACAATTGACTCAATGGTTTGGGTTTTTGACTGTATTTTATTTTAGGAACAGCGATTATAACGTACATGTGGTATTTTACAACAAAATACCTTATAAATACAAATTCTAATTCATTATGATTACTGAAATTAGGAGAGGGAAGAAAAAGTGTTTTTTGCTAGATTTTTCCAAGGAGGAAAAAGAAAAGGAGGAAAAAAACTTCCAAATAAGTTTACAACAGAATGGTTCAATCTCCGTTTAACTTGGTAAACTATAAATCCAGGCTAGTTTCAATTTGTCATTCAATTAGATATCTCAGTGGCGATTTATTTTATTTGAGGGTAGGTCTGAAATTTCTATATCCTGATTTTTTTTATCTTAATAATCCTCTCATAACAAGACCTAACTATGCTTGTCATCCGTTTCGTGGTGTCATTTACTATATATATGCTATACATTTAAAATGGACAGAGTTAACAAAAGGAATAATCGTTCTGTTCCTCTGGGAGCCCCAGCTTGATGTGGGTTAAAAGCTCTGCTGAGATTTGGTTTCTATGACCCAGGAGGGGGAAAAACAAAACAAAAACAGCGGCAGAAAACAGGATCAGCTATTTCATCTACTTTCAACTCACATTATATACCTGATTCAAAAAATAAGTGGGCAACGCACCACGTAATTCCCCTTCACCCATCATCCATTGCACTGCAGTGCAGTCTCCAGCATCAAATAAAAGCCATAGCATGGAAGAAACAGCAAAATCATCGCTACTACAGGGAGCGTCTTAGAAATTTACAGTGCTGTCATCCCCACACCCTTCCCCCACTGGCCAGCCAGGCAGCACAGAAGCAGGCAGATGCTCACCGGGCCGGCGGCTGCTTCTCTCCCTTCATCTGAGGGGCCTGCAGTCTACTCCTGTTGGGGGCTCGGCTTCGGCAGCCCTCCCGCCTCACGGTGACAGCCTGTCTGGCCGCTGACCCATCCCGGCTCCGCTCTCTGTTTACAAGCTGCTCCTCACGGTCCCTCTCTTAAATGCTTCCCCCCGGCATCCCGGGAAGCGAGACCCGGACACACAAGGTTCCAGGCCGCGAGGACACGACTTTCCTGGCGGAGGGACAAGGTGGCCAGGCGGGGTCAGACCGCACCCGCTAGGACTCCTTATCTCTTTGTTTTCTTATACACGGTTCTTACTACACTCATTGTGGAAACAATGGCGTGTGCCGCGGAGTCGCCTTCACTGCTCCTCCCAAAGCCGAAATGGATGTTTGCAATTGGAAAATTCACTTGGAACATAAGCAGGACTCCTCAGGTTTTTAGCAACCCCCTTGTCTAAGAGAATTACTCAGATACTTTTTTTTCTGAAAATTGGGTTATTAGAACTTGGAGACTGCTGACTTGTTTGAGTCCCCATCTAGTCAGGCCTGAAGCTAACCCCATCTTGTAGACCCCACTCGTAGACACGATTTTGTCACCAATTAAATCCAGTGTTTAGGTAGTTTGGGTTTCTGTCATTTACAGCTGAAAACATCTTGGCTAACACTCTACCTTTCCAGACTCATCTCCCACATGCTCCTGTCCTCCCACCGTGTACTTCAGACACTTTTTTTTTTCCCCACCAGTCCTGGACCTTCTTCCTTTTCCATTATCCTGCTTGGGTTCCCCCATTGTATCCCCTCTGCATCCCCTGAAGATGGACCTTGTCTTAGTGATCTTTGCATTTTCCACACTTACTGTGGCATCTAATACATGATCTCAATAAATATTTGTTAAAACAAAATGAAAGAACAAAACATATGAGGAGATTTCATTATTATATACTTCCTTTAGATTTTTTTCCCTTTAGCCTTCATTCACCAAGGTAATAATCAAACCAAGATTCAATAAAGCAATGCCGTCCTCCAAGAATAAAAAAAAGTCTCATCAAAAAGTGTTGAAATTTAATCAGTTTGTGTGTGTGCGCACTGTTTATAACTTAAAGTTTGCAAGCCTATCTCACCCTATCTCCCAAAATATGCATAAGTAAAGATTAGTATATTTATTGTGAATAACATAATATAATCAATATAATTGTCTCCTGGGTAAATTAAAAGCTTTTCAGATACGGAATATAAGGTCATAAATGGAGTGACTCATTGAAAGTACTATTGAGCCTGCTAGTCAGCTGGTAGGCACCCACAGGAATACACCCACTGTTAGGATACTGAAACATTTTCATACATGTTGGTAAATAGCTGCTGCCCCAAAGCTTCTGAAGAAGTCTTCCCAAGCGTGCCCCCTAAGCCATACAGACCTCTTCCCTGAGGACCCCACTACTACCATCCTAAGATCCAAGACCCAAGGGATTAACTCCTGGCCCTATTTTGCTAGGAGAGTGGGTGTCTCCAGGATGTTACCCTTGTATTAGGGCCAAGATCCTTTCTTCTTGATTGATGGTTGCCTTGGTTATCTAGTGCTACTATAATAGAAATACCTTAAGTGAATAGCTTTAACAAACAGAAGTTTATTCTCTCACAGTCTAGGAGGCTAGAAGTCTGAATTCAGGGCACCAGCTCCAGGGGAAGGCTTTCTCTGTCTGCCAGCTCTGGAGAAAGGTCCTTGTCCATCAATCTTCTCCTGGTCTAGGAGCTTCTCCATGCAGGAACCCTGGGGTCCAAAGGACTTGCCCTGCTCCCGGCACTGCTTTCTTGGTGGTATGAGGTACCCATGTCTCTCTGCTCACTTCTCTCTTTTATATCTCAAAAGAGATTGACTCAAGACACAATCCAATCTTGTAGATTGAGTCCTGTCTCATTAACATAACTGCTGCTAATCCCATCTCATCAACATCTTAGAAACAGAATTTACAATGCATAGGAAAATCACATCAGATGACAAAATGGTGGAAAATCACAATACTGGGTGTCACGGGTTGAATTTTGTCCCCCCCAAAATATCTGTCAACTTGGCTAGGTCAGGATTCCCAGTATTGTATGATTATCTACCATTTTGTCATCTGATGTGATTTCCCTATGTGTTGTAAATCCTATCACTATAATGTAATGAGATAGATTAGTGGCAGTTATACTGATGAGATCTACAAGATTAGATAGTGTCTTAAGCCAATCTCTTTTGAGATATAAAAGAGAGAAGCCAGCAGAGAGACATGGGGAGCTCATACCACCAAGAAAGCAGTGCCAGAAGCAGAGCACGTCCTTTGGACCTAGGGTTCCTGCACGGAGAAGCTCCTAGTTCAGGGGAAGACTGATGACAAGGACCTTCCTCTAGAGCCAACAGAGAGAGCCTTCCCTTGGAGTTGATGCCCTGAATTTGGACTTCTAGGCTACTAGACTGTGAGAGAATAAATTTCTCTTTGTTGAAGCTATCCACTTGTGGTATTTCTGTTATAGCAGCACTAGATGACTAAGATACTGGGAATCATGACCTAGCTAAGTTGACATACATATTTTGGGGGACACAATTCAATTCATGACATTGGTCAAGCCATAAAACTTGTTAAGTCTTTTGACTATCATTCCTACTGATACATAAATAGAAAGGGGAAAAAAAAAAAAAGAAAGCAAAATAGAGATTCACCCAACCCACCACATAACTACCAAGTCTGTTTTAACCAGAAAGATCAAGCACGAGTGATAGAGCCTTACAGAAGATGTTTAACTGGGTGATTTGAACGTGCTCATTTAGTCATTCAACAAACATGCATTGTAGGAATTGTCCTCTAGGTTGGGGTCTCATGGGTTCATGATGGCTTGTATAATGGTCAGAACTCAATCAAAAGCCTCTACTGAGAGTTTACCTATAGAAAAACTGGTATAGAAAGTGCAGTCCCTTTGAAACCCTGCAAAACAAATGTTGTTTCAATTTTGAGACAGAATCTTTTTACATGGTATAATTTTCAACTTCCTTCTGGGAAAAACCTAGCATTCCTATTAAAATGCTTAAGCAGTTGGCAAAGTTTAGATACATTTCAATAGGATTAATTGTTGTTGTTGCAGGTTGGGTTCCCTGGAAAGCAGACTTTGGGAAAGAGTCTAGTATGCAGGGAATGCCTTTGAGACCAACACCTGTGGAAGGGAGGAAAAGGAAGTCAATTTGGGCAGAGAGAGAAGTACAGTTGTGAGGCCCAGGGACATCCTCAGCCAACCCCACGAAAACCTCTGGAGCTAGAATGTTGCTTCAGAGGCTTCAGAGGAGTCCTGAGTTGGACCAAGATCAGTTGTGTGCTGGTAAAGTGGCTGAAAAAGCAAAAACTCTGATTTTTAGTGTTTGCCTAAATCTGTGGTGTAAATTTCCCTAACATGCCCAATTTCAAGCTGTCACTGAATATGGAGTTGGAGATGTGCACAATCAGTCCTTGAGAGTTAGTAGAAGCTGGCTCCAGCATACCACTTGCCAAGATGGTCAGGTCTTTACACTCCCAAATCCATCAATCACTGAATGTGGGACATTCTGGGAGAGGACATGACTTTGGCCAAGGCATCTCTCTGCAGTTGACACAATCCCTGGAAGGGATGACCACTGAAGGCACTCACAGCAGCTAAACCAATAAGTCCTCTTTGACAAGGATCAGGGCAGTGCATCACAGAGTCCAACACTGTGGTGCTCTGGGAAACCAGTCATCTGCCCAGTCAACCAACTCTCAGCCAAGAGTCTAGTCATTTTTCATCTTCTAGATGGTGGAGCAAATATATAAACTAAATGAATAATTTCTTTTATAAGGATCAGCACAAAGCTGGTTCCTATCAAGCGGAGGTTAAAGACATCCCAAATCCAACTTTTCCAAGCTACTGTACCACTCCATCATCTCTGACATCAGTTACTCCTTCTCCCCTCAGTACTTTCCCTCTTGTTTTTGGGTTCCCTAATTCGCAGCAGTTCTCACTGAACTCATGAAGTGTAAAGGAAATGGCTCATGCAGTTGTGGAGGCTGGCAAGTCCCAAATTCGTGAGTTAGGTGTAGGCTTCTCCTAACCCACGTGGGTGCAGGGGCTGACAAACCCAAACCAGCAGTTCAGACCACATGCTGCTGGCTCACAATGCTGCAGAAGCTGGTGAATCAGGTCACACAATAGGTGGCAGGCCCAAGCGGCCGTGGAGGCCAGTGAATCCCAGAATCAGCAGGTCAGACAGCAGGCCTCTGGCTCGAGTCCCAAGAACCAGAGGTCAACTGATCACAAACCGGAAGCAGGATCCAGATGCAGAGAGAGAGCCTCACCAGGACAAACACATATATCTTAGATGCAGGCCACATTCCAGGGAAGGGCTTAACTTTAGTAAGGGTGGGACTTGAGTCATGCTCTCCTGCAAGGCTGTGACCCAAGACACACCCTACATCAATCCTGCCTCATCAATACGTAGAGGTCAGGATCACAACACATAAAATGGAGGACAACCATACAATATTGGGAATCATGTTGTAGCCAAGTTGACACATAACCTCAACCATCACATGTCCCATATACCTTATTTGCATAGTCCCACTCAATGATTGTATGTGGGTCACAAAGAAATGGCTAGAAGGGCCATATTAAGTAATTCATTACACTGTATAAACATGCAGAAAGATTTCCACCAGTCCAAAACAATAAATATACAGGAAGTGATGAAGACAGGAAACTCAGAAATTCAGAAAATCAGAGATAGAACTTCTCAGGCTTCTTCGAAGAGCAAGAGTTTGAGTCCTGCTTTGAAGAATAAGTAGAACTGAGTTAGAAAAGCAGAGATGAGTGAATAGAAGCTGAATTGCATTGTGGTTAGAATCCTGGCTCTAGCATTTATTAGTTCTCAGACCTTGCATGAATTACTATTGAAATTACTTGCACAAAAAACTGTGCCTCGGTTTCCCTCATGGGTAAAATGGGGATGATAATAATAATATAACAATGGTAACCGTAGGAAATGAGCTCATTCACATTAACAGTTTCTAACAGTGTTTGGCAATATCAGGCCCTAATAGTTTGGCTGTCAGTATTGCGTACGACAAATGTGAAGACAGCAAATTG